CCTACGTGCCGCGGGAGGGCGGGAGGAGGAGTTGGCGCGAAGGAGGCGTGGCTGTGCCGGCGGAGGCGCGGGCGGGCGGCGAGACCCGACTTTAGCTGTGACACCCGCGGCGAGCAGCGGCGGGTTCGCGGCGCGGGGCTCAGGACGCGCTCCGCCGTGTCTCGCGCTCGAGTTGGGCGCCGGACTTTGGCTGGATCAACGCAGAGGCGACGCTGCAAGTCCTGATGCAGCTTCGGGGGCCGAATTTCACAGCTGCTCCTGTCGCTCCTGAGCAGCCACTGCCTGCCCCGGGAGAACGGCACTGAATTTCCCCCGCAGAAGAAGCCGGGACGCTCGCGGCGAGCCCCAGGGAACCGGGGGCCGACCCCAGCAGAGCGGCGGAGAGGTGGGAAGGGATCGGAGGGCCGGGGGTGGGTCCCTGAGCCTCTGCTCGGTGTCTGCGCCCGCTCGCTCAGCAGCTCTGAGTTCCCAAGTTACAGTGCCCTCCTGAGCGCTGTAGGGGCTTCGTATTCTTGTCTGTCTGCAGGAGCTCCGGTGGGGGCTTCCGAAGTGAGGAGGTGGCTCCAGCGCTGCCAGAGCAGAGAGACGTGGGGCTCGTGGGGATAGTTCTCTTCGCATTTTGGACCTTGTGTGATAAATAACCCGAGGAAAACCCACAAGGGGCAGCCTCACAGCGTCTGCGTTTTCAGGAGTTGACCTGTCCCCCACTAGTTATGAACTTCCAACACTACAGGAGTGCTAAGGGCTGATTGATTAATTTCAGTCAATTTCCATGTCAATTTCTAGGTGGCTCAGCAAAATTTTGAACACTAGCTATGGAAGATTTGATGTTTGTCTGCAGCAACTTCCTCGACCCGTAAGTCCTGCAGCCTTCCATTCTTTTGTGCTTATAAAGGCTCCCGGGCTTCTCTATCCAGAGTTGCTCTGTGTTGGTTGGCCATGGGGAGCACCCTGGGCTGCCATCGCTCTATCCCCAGAGACCCCTCAGACCTGTCACATAACCGTAAATTCAGTGCAGCTTGCAACTTCAGCAACATCCTGGTGAATCAGGAGCGGCTAAACATCAACACCGCCACTGAGGAGGAACTGATGACCCTGCCTGGGGTGACACGTGCAGTGGCCAGAAGCATCGTGGAGTACCGAGAATATATCGGTGGCTACAAGAAGGTGGAGGATCTAGCTCTGGTGAGCGGCGTAGGGGCCACCAAACTGGAACAGGTCAAGTTTGAGATCTGTGTGAGCAGCAAGGGTAACTCCGCGCAGCACTCTCCCAGTTCCCTGAGGCGGGACCTGCTGGCTGAGCAGCAGCCTCATCACCTGGCCACCTCGGTGCCCCTCACGCCACGAGTCAATATCAACACAGCCACCTTAGCTCAGCTCATGAGTGTCCGAGGCCTCACGGAGAAGATGGCTGTCAGCATCGTGGACTACCGCCGTGAACATGGTCCCTTTCGCAGTGTGGAGGACCTGGTGAGGATGGACGGAATCAATGCAGCCTTCCTGGACAGAATCAGACACCAGGTGTTCGCAGAGAGGTCCAGGCCCCCATCGACCCACACCAATGGAGGGCTCACCTTTACCGCCAAGCCTCATCCCAGTCCCACATCTCTGAGCCTGCAGAGCGAGGACTTGGACCTGCCACCAGGGGGGCCCACACAGATCATCTCCATGAGGCCTTCGGTGGAAGCCTTCGGAGGGATGAGGGATGGGCGGCCTGTGTTTAGGTTGGCCACCTGGAACTTGCAGGGCTGCTCTCTGGAGAAGGCCAACAACCCTGGCGTCAGAGAGGTGGTGTGCATGACGCTTCTGGAAAACAGGTGAGGACAGGAACCACCAAGGGTGCTGGAAGTGAAGACAGCTGGTATGGCCTCATCGAAGGGTACAAACGAGTGGATCCCTTGAAGGGGACAAGGGAGGGGGAAGAGCGTTTAATCCATGCTCTTTAGGTCCCAGTGGACCCCTCCTAAGTGGAGGCTGTGTGGGTCCTTGTCTCTGCTTTGGAAGGTTTGGCTTACAGGGCTTCACAGAGCTTAAACTGAGCCAGGGGTTTGGGAACTGAGGTATAGTTTTGCATGTAAGAAAAAACTGAGTTTTTAAAAGTTCTATGACTAGGAAGGAAAGTCCTGTTTTCCCATCAAATATACATATTTGCATGCAGAGGATCATCGTATTTGCAAACACATATGCTGTCTTTGCCAGGGTATTGGGAACAAAGCACCTAGCACCTCCCTTTCCTTGTCGAACCTGAACTTGGCTTTTCGCATGCTCTTTCTCCTGTTCCGTAGCCAGAAGAGGCCAGTTTGGGTGTGGATACTGGGCAGATTGTTCCTTCCGAGCTAAAGGAGAAAAAGCTGGCAGGTCAGGCCAGTGGGAGAGGCTGTTTCAATAGTCACACAATCACTGTCTGTTAGGAGCATCTGCTGACTCCCCACACACAGAACTATACATCATGGCAGGAACTCCTGCTATTTGTAAAACAGCCAGCGTTCAGTGTGATCCCATTAGCTCCTTCTGGGTCAGGAATCCTCAGGTCCAATCTTCAGGGACCTGGGGTGCAGTGCAGGTGCTTCCCTGCTGCCTTCCTTGTGGGGGTTGATAGCTTGGCAAGGTGGCAGCTTGGTGTCTGGAGGTGCAACAGGAACTCTCAGCGGGAAATCAGTGTATTGGGGCAGGTCACCAGGACAAATTAGTGAGGGGAAAAGCAGGTCACAGCATTCTCCTGGCACCATCTCCTGGCACACAGTCTCATCACCGATCCTCCGTGCTGTCCTCAGGTTCAGGACCAGGAGACCACTGAGTGCTCCTTCCCCTTTCATGTTGTCCGCTTGTCACCCCAACTCATTCATTCTGCAAACTCATCTTGTTCACAGCCCCATCAGGACCAGGACGGGATTGGCAATAGTGTCCCTTGCAGCTGCCTGCGGGGACAGTGGCTTCATTCCCATCAGGGGTTTTCGTAAGGCCCTGTGTGAAGTAAAGAGAGGAATGAAGCAGGATCTGAAGTCTCGGTAGGGACAACACCCTGGGCAGTCCTTGTCCATTTATTTCATCAGTGTTCTCGGGAGTGTGGCCCCTGGACCACTGCCTAGGAAGCCCTGGGTGTCAGGTTTCACCACACCCCCAGGTACTTCTGCTGTAGTTTGAGAAGCACTGTGTTCTGGGCCATCTCTGCGCTTCTGGGTTTCTCTTTAAAGACCATTCCCAGGTCCTGGCATCTGTGTTACGATTTTGTGTTGCGCATTTCCGTGACTTCGTCCCCGCCTTTGATTGTCCTGGTCATACCTGAGGTTAGTCGTTCACATAACGTTCAGTCTGCTCAGGAGTTGAGGGCCTTAGCAGTTTCTAGGACATACGAATGTGGAGAGCGGAGGAAGGGAGGGTGAGAACTGGACGTGATCCTGTAGTCCCAGATACTCAGAGCTCCTCAGGCAGCTGGCCTGGCTCTGTATCAAGCCTAGAGCCTCCAGGGTCTGCTTAGAGAGGGTCAGTAGCAGAGTAACAGTTCTTATCTGGTATGGAATTCCTTGTGATTTTTGTCCTGTTTTGGGTTTTCTTTGTTTTTTTTTTGTTTTTTTGTTTTTTTTTTTTGATTTCTTATACTGTTGAAGACATTTCTCTGTTGACTTCAGGTAAGTTCACCCTAACCCAAGGGATAGAAGAAATACAAGAAAGTACTTGTAATAAACAAAGGGAAGGTGACCTCCACCTCCATTGAGTTCTCACACTAGCCGACTAGTCCTGTGAGTTCGTGACTCCTTTGGCCTGATCCTAGTGCACTCGGTATTCTGAGGAATCTTAGCACATAGCTGGTGTCTGGTAAAACCCAAGTAATAGGCTTAGAGCCTGATCCTTGCAAAGCTGGGGTGGGTGCATTTGCCTGTGTGGCTGTCCTAGGGCACCAGAAACTGTCACAGAGCCCTTAAGGACAGGTGGCAATGCCCATGCTCCAAGAGTTGTGTGTTCATACTGATTCACAGAAGTTTCCCGACATCCCAGGAGTTCCCTTCATTCATAACAGGATGTATATTCAGTGTGAGCAAGAGTGGGTGCAGGGAGTTTTCCAGGTGGCTCTTATATTCGTATACGTCTGTGTGTAGTAGAGGAGTGCCCTGTGCTTAGCCTTTGTATTTTCTGACCGCCTCCATATCCATTTGATTGCCCCAGTAACTATAAACAGTAGGGAATATTTATTTGCTTTTGTTAGATACTCTCCATCTCTGGGTTAGGAAATAAGACACAGGAGTTAAACCACTTGCCTCTGAAACAGCTCATTTGTGACCAGCCTGGGACAGGGACCGAGACCAGCTGACTTTAGTCCATGCTCTTTGCAAGCGTGGTGTTTACTTACGCATAGCCCCTGCACACTTTCTTGGTTAGGTGCCCTGTTCTGTACTGAACCAAAGGTGTTTGCCAATTCCTTTACCTGCCGCAGACATTAAATCCATTATAAAGGCCTTATAAAGCAAGCCTTGGGCAGATTTGCAGCGGGAATGGCTGTCTCTTAGCTTCTTTCTGTGAGTTTGCTCAAGTTTGTGCATTTTCTTAGCGGAGCAGTACCCAGATGGGAGTTGGAATCTTTATTGCCCTGATGTGCTGCCGGTTTGATAGGTGGACGTGTTTGAGCCACAGGGAACTGTGTTTTGCATGTGAACCCTAAGGTAGGACCTCTGAGAGCCAGATAATTATAGTCGCCAGGAGCCTTAGGGACACCATGCTGTGTGTGGCATGTGTCCATACACTGACGGTTTCATCAGATTCATTTGCCAAACTTTGGTCTTAGGCAATGCTCTTCCTCCTTCGGTATTTATGGAGCAAGACTGAGAGAGGAATGCCTCTGCTAAATATCCTTGCAAAATTTGGTGCCCGTCAGCATGAGGAATGATGCCTTACTGTTTATTTATTGCCGAGTCATCATTCTGTCTTAAAGAATTCCTTTGGTTTCTCTAGGAAGAGCTGACGGATAATCTCCAAAAGAAACGAGGAGATTTAACATCCCAGTTGCCTGTTTTCCCCACATTCTATATGAGCAGGAAACTCTGATGTCAAAGTCGTTAGCTTTTTAATGATTTCCATCTTGTTTCTTGCTGTGTCTTTACCGGCAAAACACAGGTAGGTTAGTGCCTGGCAACATGGACCATGAGAAAACAGAACCCACCAAGAACAGGTTTTAGTCTGTCAGACTTGATTAGTGGGATCAGCACAGAGGGAATTCATCTTGTCATTTGAGTCCTTCATTGAAAATTACATATTGAATGTTCACTTGCTGTGTACATGTATAAACACAATTCGGGGATCAGCTTGGCTCACCTCCATGATAGAATTAAGTAAATGTCAGTCACTTTGTATGGTTCAATGTCAAAACAGTGTGGCAAACCCAGAATTGTTTGCTAACTCACAAAGACTGATTTGGTATCTGATTGCGTTTTTTTTTTCTATATGAATAATTGGCTCATGGTGGGAAATTAAAGAGTAGGTAGATGAACCAAATATAAAATCTAAGGGCAGAACTGCTCCTTCTGGAGGCAGGATTTGAAGCTAGGCATTTGTCTGATTTCAAAGCCAGGACTAGGTGTGTATTATTTTACCACATTCAATATCTCCTTCTATGTCCTTTTTCTGACCCTAGCTTGCCCAGAGTTCACTGTTTCCTCCCTGTGTGGGGTCAAGCATCAGGGGTTTTGGAGAAGGATGGCTTCGCCCAAATCCCTGAGACTGTCTCGGCCTCAAGAGGCCTCCGTGCCTTTCCTGTTTTTGTTCCTCCAAAGGATGGGGTGGTAACCAGATGTGTGGAGCAAATTCAGAGGACGTCAAGGCCTCTCTGTTTGGCGCTAAGTGTGAGTTTGAGACCTTGGGCTCCACTCCAAGGTGGAGTTCCGGTTTACGGAGCCAAGGAATTCTGGGTCATTTCCAGACAGAAAGGTGGTTGGCTCGAAGACTGCCGTGGATTTGTAAGAAGGTGGGGTGAGGGAAGGGGAGGGTCTCAGTGGGGGCAGGGTTATTTCACAGAAAGGAAAAGGGTTATGTTTGTTTTACAGAAAGGTTGAATTTCTTTGGGGGGGGTCTAATGTCAAGGTCCTGATACTGTTGATTTTTCCAGGTGATTAAACATTCATTCAAGCATTTTCTTCTTCTTTTTGAACTTTCTCTGGGTAACAGACTCTTTCAGGCAAAGCCAGTTGCTTTGCTGGAACTTCCCTTCTGGATAAGTAGGTGTGCATGTTAGCACATAGGTACCTCACTGCAGGTAGGTGCAAGGCGGAGGGTGAGGGGAGTGAGGCGAAGGGAAGTTTGTTTAGGTCAGAGGAGACCTTGGCCATCAGCTGCTGGAGGATGTCAAGGGACCAGGCATGGAAAATCTCGGGGTAGAAGTAGATGTGGCTGCAGCCTGGAATGGATTGAATTCTGTGAGCTGTAAAAGAAGAGGTTGTTGTTGCTTCAGGTGTAGCGACTGGGAGAGGAAGTGGGTGGAAGTGAAGGACCTACTGGAGGTGAAAACAGAGGGATTTATCTGGGTTTGGGTTGGTGTGAGGATGAGGTGGTGACTTGTTTGAAACACTTTGATTTTCTAGACTAGAGGGTCAACCGCAGTTGAGAAATTCTGGGGTCAGCTGGCATGTTTCTGCACTGTGTGATCATGATACAAGTCTCCAGCCTCACTTCTCCTCCCTGTGCACCCTGCACTCTGGTCAAGGGGTCAGGTGTTTGGTACCCGAAGCAGTTTGAGGCCTTGACCTGACCTCTGCCCCAGAGTGACATCTAGCAAGGCTCCATACGCTTTCAGCATCCTCGTGTTTAGGATTGTGGGTAACTTTTCATC